AGGTTCAACATTTGCATTGGTTTCCGAATCACAGCAAGGATACAGACTTGAATACTGCTGCACTGAATTTTTGTGCAAGTGGCTCCAGAGTGGTTTGCTGCTGTCTTTTGAGGTGGCTGACACAACCAACTACTCATGGCTCTTTAACTGAAAACACATTATTATGCAAATACCCAATAATAGCAGTGAGAAGTAGAGGCAGCTATTAAGTAAATGTTAATGTTTCTTAAATAGCAGTTATGCACTTCTTAATAGTATTCTTTCTCTCATTGTGTAGGTGTACATTTCATAATGTATTTTCAAATTAGGGTTTTACTATCATTTTCTAAAAAGAGAATGTTTTATTTCTGGTTAGGTTTGCAGCTATTATTTCCTTACCTTTTCATATATTAATGAGGCAAACAGTACAGGTTTTTCTCTAGGGCATCAATAAATAATGGTTTTAGAATAAGCCATCGTGCTGTAAATATCCTTTTAATTTGCTTAATTATCTTTTGACTGCAGAAAGATACCACCAAGTGGCAAGTTAGTCCTCACACTTACAACTGATGCTTGTGAGGGGAAGGAGAATTTTGTCCGTTACCTTGAACACGTCCAAGCAGTTATAACTGTGAATTCAACTCGGCGAGGAGACCTCAACATCAACATGACCTCGCCAATGGGAACGAAGTCCATCCTACTGAGCCGACGTCCAAGGGATGATGACTCCAAGGTGGGTTTTGACAAATGGCCTTTCATGACCACGCACACCTGGGGAGAAGACCCCCGAGGCACCTGGGTTCTAGAGATTGGGTTTATTGGCGGTGTGCCACAGCGGGGTGTGCTGAAGGAGTGGACACTGATGCTGCACGGGACCCAGAGCGCACCATACATAGACCAAATAGTAAAAGATTATCAGTCCAAACTGGCCATGTCCAAGAAGGAAGAGCTGGAAGAAGAATTAGATGAAGCAGTGGAGAGAAGCCTGAAGAGTATACTGAGCAAGAACTAGAGCTGTTCTGCATGAGTGTCTTTCCTTTCCCGGATCCTTCTGTTCACCTTTCTGCTATCCAAACCTCTGTGTTAGACATATAACAATGATCGTCTCTGTAGCCAAATTATCACTTTCTTGATTTTAAAGTCTTGTATATTGTCAATAATTATTTTAATCACCACCAAAGCAATCATTTTTTTACTCTAAACCACAAATATATTGTCCCCCACCAAATAACTATGTACAGTTTGTGACTGTAAATGATTTTTCTTTTGTGTCATACAAATAGGTAATACCTGTAAACATGCCAATAGCTATTCCCTTCATATTTTTGTGGTATCTGTTGTTTGTATTTAAAAAAAAACAGAAACAAAAACAAAAAAAGTGAATTTTAATATTGGCTGTTGATGATAATGGGTGCATTTTAAAAAATTATTGTGAAAGAGGGAATTTACAAAGAGGTTGGCTGGAGAGGTCTTTGGATGTCTAACAGCTCCTTTTGAATCATGGGCTTCTGTGGGAACTTCCCCACTGAGTTCAACCAAAATAGCACTAGACCCTAGAAAAAGAGATGATCTAGAGATGAAAAATTTTCAGTCCAATTTTTGGAAACCGGTTTTAGAGTTTTCTTTAGTATAAACACATAGACAGTATACACATTAGCACTTCAGCCACAGAATGGTTCTGCAACAAGCATGCAATTGGGAAGGCAAGGCAATGCTAGGGCCAGGTGATAAAGGGAAGTGCATTGCAAACAGTCAGGGCATTCTAGAAGCACAAATTTCAGAGTGGGTTGTTTTTTGTTATTATTATGTTGTTAATTTAGATCAGCTTACCATCTTACAGTGGTATGAGTAGGTAGGGAATGATCTGTAAGGTTTCTTGCAACCTGTGTGCCAAAGTGCATCTGTCCTCCTCTATACTTAATGCTCTATACTACAGCAGCAGAAGATGCAGCCATCTCAGCATTTCCAATCTCAGACCCCTGTTTTCTGGGGTTTTCAGCCTGGCTGTCAGCAAATTGCTGTGGGAAATAAGAAAAACGCAGCTTGAGTCCCCAAACCATTTTAATTCAAATTTCACTTTTAAAAATAGAGATTTGTTATTTTTGTGTTATACAAATATATTTAAGGAGAAAAATATGCCTATGTAATTTATGTGTAATGCAACGTTGGCCTTCTTCGGAAAATAAAATATAGTGCATTTGGGAAGATTTGTCAGTAATTCTTGCTTTTGGTGTCAGTCCCACCTTCAGCTTTCACACGTCTCACCTGCCTTGGGGTCTGCTCTGGCTGTTGCCACATCACGCTCCCCTCTGTGTGGACTCAAGGTAACAACCACTACAGGTTCTCAAGTGTGAGAGCCCAAACTGAACGTTTGAGAAATAAAGGGTCTTGATTCTGCAAGTACTGCACTCACAGTAACAGCAGCAGACCTACTGAAGCATTGATGTAAAGCAGGTGCTTAAGATGTCGGAAGGATCCAACATCCACTGCTTAGACATTCACTGCTTTGGCAGTGACTGGTTTCAGAGTTTTATTATGTATTTTTAATATACAGAGTATTCATCTAAATTGTTTTACTAAGAATCTTCCTGGTTAATCAGGTGTGCAGTGACAGAAACATAGTAAGCAAATAAATATTTATCTAATAAATTAAAAATGTAACCCAAAGGTTATATGGTGCATACGTTTCACTTCAAAATGTATAATTCCTTGTTACTTCAAGTGAATATCCATCTTCTATCCTTCCATCAGGCCTGTTCTTTCCTTTCCAAATACAAATGCAAAATAAAGAGCTAAATCTACTCGCAGTCTTTGTGAATTACATTGTAAGCCCCAGACAAGCAGCCTCATGCTGTTCAGAGGTTCTGCACTACATGCAGAGACAGTAGGGTCATATTTGGATAACACAGGTGTCAGAAGGACAAGAACCAGCCCCTGTGTGGTTTCTGTTTTTAAAGCACTCTTTGTTATTCGTTCTGATACATTACAGTGTCAGCTGTGTTTAACCTGCAGATTTAAGAATTAAGCCAAGGACAAGACAGGCCTGCTTCAAACCATGACTGTGAAGCATAACCCAAAAGGCTTGGGGACAGGCTTGCTCGTGTCTGTTTGGAATTGAAGGGCCCACACTGACAGCAGGAGGTGTTCAGGGAAGGCACCAGAAAGAGCATCATATGCATATCAGAGGGAAGAATTTACCACATATATGTGTATTTATGCATACTCCTGTAAGTCTAGGTGCATAGAACATCCCTGTAGTACCTTTGTATTACATGCAATATGTCTACTCAGAGTATTGTTACATACATTTTCTTATAAATACCTAAAAAATACATACAATATGTAATGTATAACACATACACACCCCATTACCTTTTGCATGTGTGTGTTCAAAGAAACAGATAAAACTGGAAGATATTCATGGATTTCTGGAATGTGGAGTAAGAAAAGTCCACATGGAAATCTTAAATGAATGTGTGCATCTCTTTCCATTGCATTCATGTAATTTTGCAATTTCGTTCAATCATTAAATAACTTATTTAGCAGCAGAATGCTATGATTGATCATATTTTCATAATGTTGACATACTGTGTGAAGTGAAAGACCACAATAATGAGTGATAAACAGAAATGGTGAGTTTTGCTATGGGTATATCTAAAGCTACCTGTATATGCAACATAGAGATTACTTCAGATTCTTCAGAATTTTTGCATCAGGGGAATCACTGAAAAATATGTCAAGTTAGACTAAGTTTTCATGATATTGCTGATGGGAAATAAAGTTAATTTGTTAGCTTTTATAATCAGGGGGAAGTTGACACTCTTGAAACAGGTAAATATTGTTTAACCAAAGCCCCATGATGAGGTTTCATAATCCAAGTGAAATAAAGAGCTGTTGTAAATTGGCACATCCTATCATCATTGCTTATCTGATGGCACTGTGCTGTCAGCAAGGTGACTTCCTAACCTCCTGCTTCTCATACTAATAAGGAAACTTACATCCCACCTTGGTTACTGAAAAAGCAAACACGATCCTACAAGAGTGGACAGGAACAAGAGAAGAGCACCATGCCTGGTGTTAACTTTGTGGCAGGGTGGGATAGAGAAGATCAAGGATGCAAGCTGCAAAGAGCATTGGGCATTGCTTACATGGTTCAAACCCAGTAGCTCCAAGGGAAGCTCTGCAGATGCATGATTGCTGAATTGCTGCTATCAGTGGGGAAGAGGATGTTCAAGAAGGAAGACACAATTTTGCACTGTCTCATACACAGTGGCAGTTCTGGCCCTGAGGAAATAATAGGATCTACCACAGCAGTATTCTTCTCTACTATTTGGAGCACTTTGATCCACAAAAAATCCTATTTCCCCCTACCTCCTACCCATATTTTCTGAGTATGGGTCACACATGGCCCCATAGTGCAGCGTATGTGTGATTTTAAAATAACCACAGCTGTGATTTCTTACCATTCCTGCAGCAGTAGAAGACAGCTGGAAATCTCCTCATCTAGTTCTTCTTATCACTGAGGTGACAGTGTGTCAGCAGTAACCTATGTCTTATCCCAGGCTTTCCTGAATAAATGCTCACACATTTCACTGCTACGTCTCAGCGTTAGTGTTTGAGAGTCTGCATTTAAAGCAGTGGATAATCCATAAATCGTGAGATTTACTACACATCGCATCATTGTCACTAGGAACAATAACTTCCCAGTGTTTTTTTCTCTATATGTTTAGAGAAATACGAGGATCTGCCCGTCTGCTGCCATGGTTGTGGCTGGCAGCTCAGAGAGCATAACAGAATTCAGGCCTTATTTCAGATAGTGCTCTACACTAGCACATGCACAAAGATTTCTTTTGCTTTTTCTTTTCTCTTTTTTTTTTTCTTGTCTATTTCCTGAGTCAAGGATTTCTGGAAGCTGTAAGAATCTGATGCAGGAGTGCTGCTTCATGCTTCTCCAGGCACATGGGCAAGCAGCCCTTGTTCCCATGGAGCTCTGTGGCACTGCAAGTGACTGGGATGCAACAGGATCACGTGGCAGCATCAAACTCTGTACAATGCTACAATCCAAGGAAATAAGCAACAAGAAAAAATGAAACAAACAAAATGAAGAGTCTTTTGAACTGCCTGCAGTCTGCTCAAAAGCTTGTTTGCTCTCATAAATGCCTCAGTAATACTGGTGAAGGAAAAAATAACACCTTTAGAGTATTTTAGAAGGGTTTTCCCCTGCTTTATTTTGGTGGCACTTCAATTTCTATTCTGAGTAGATGTGCAGTACGAGCTTATTTCAAGCACAGCAGGTTTGTCTTCAAATCCAAAAAGAGTGTTCTGCCCAAGGTCACCTCTAGTTAAAGACAGCGAGTGAGAGAGATTTGGAACGGGTTAGAGAACTCACTTTCCAGCTCCTCCTTTGGAAAGACTCCTGCACATCTATCGGTTAACTTTTAGCAATGAAGCCTGTTATTCAACAGTAAAGGCAACACACAGCCACAGTGGGTACTTTCTGTAGAAGGCAAAGCTTTTATTAAATGAATCAGGTGTCACAAGTTAACATTTGCAGCTGAGAGATGGGGAATCCCGTTGCAGCTATAGGAGAAGTAGAGGAATACTCACTGGCAAATCTGCCCTGGATACTTCGGAAAGTCAGGCAGCTCTGTAATGATGATTGATTTCAACTTGTCCTTACTGTGAAAATAAGTTGCATAGGATCTGCCCTTTACTCCTTGTCCTGGAGCAGTCTCACATTCGTTACAACACAGCCGAGCCTACATCAGACAGAATTTTGCCACCAAAGTATCAATCTGTTCCATACCAAACAGCAAAAATCTCACTATTGTATCATTCGATCAGGAAAAAAAAATTACATCATTTAATAACTATGCCAGACAAGTTGACTGCTTGTCATTTAAGAGCCTTTGTCACCCGGTTTCTTCTTGCTTGTCTTCTCTATCATCGTCTCCACAATCATAGCTGTCTCTTCATACGTCTGAATTCTGTCATCTGAAAACTTCTCGATGGACTCCACCACCTCCACCTTCTCGTAGCTCACGGAGCCAGGCAAGCCTGCTTCCCGGAACAAGAGGCCCTGTTTATCTTCTCGGTCATGCTCTGTCTCTTGAAGTACTCCTGGCTCAGCAGGGCTTATCAGACCCGGGCAAGGAACTGCCTCGGGCTCAGAGACGTCTGGATACTTTGTGACTTGCTCAATTTTCCCCCTTATTTTGCCCCATTCAAACAGATCTTCTCTCTCCTCCTCTTTCAATTTATCTTGGGTTTCAGTCTCGTCTCTCCTTTCACAGATGTCCCTTTTCTCTTTTTCTGATGGTTCAGTAGGTTCAGGCAGCTCTGGTATGGGCTCCACATCACCACCAATCGTTACCTTCCCATTGCTGGTAGAAACTGTGATTCCTCCCCCAGCTGGGATAGATGAGAAGCAAGGTTCTTCATAGCTTTCCTCCCCTGTTACCAGCACATAACGCCCTTTGGGGTGGGAATCAGCTTTAGCCTCTGGTCTCTTGTAAACTCTGATTTTCTCCCTCACAATGTTACACAATTTATCAAAGGCTTTACTTATCTGGGCTCCATCAGGAACGTCCTCTGGGACTGCTTCTTTTTCAACAAGTTCTAATTCCTCCTGCCCAGGTTCACATGTGACTGAACCTTCATGTCTAAATTCCAGCTGATCTTGGTCAAAAACTTCCACAGTTCTTTCATACATTTTTTCAGGCGAGAGCCCGTCGGTTATGTCTTTAGACATGATCTCCTTTTTCCTGGAAAGTTTCTTTGTCAGCGCTTTTTGTCTGGGCTTTACACTGGCAATCTCTTGCATAGCCTGGGTGATATCTAGGGAGAACAAAAACAAAGCAAACAACAGACAGTCCCGAACACAGCTGCTGCAAATGCTGGAGCCATCTCTCCCTCTCACTGCCTCAGTTAGAGAGCTGAATACAGCAGCAAACATGAGCACACTTCCCACTAGCACATTTGACAGCCTCTTCTTTTGCTGGGGCCCCCTTGGCCAAGCAGTTATTTTTCATCTGAGATAGCCACATCTATAAGCTGAGGGTATGGCCTCATTCTTTATGGATCCCTTTCCATTAGAAGAGCTACATTTCACAGAACAGTTAGAACAGTTAGTTTACACCTGTAAATTCTCTTCTTGTAAAGTGTGTCCTTTCTATTTGGTCCTGTCCCTAGTCACAAGGTTACAAGTATCCTAATTCAAACAGGCAATCCCACAACACCATAGAAACACCTTATTTAGAAGTAACCATATCAAGAACTGTGGAGACTTGACACTGAGGGATGTGGTTAGAGAGCATGGAGGGGACAGGTTGGGGTTGAACTTGGAGATCTTTGCAGTCTTTTTAACCTGCTATGGCCCATAAACATATGACCAAAAAGTGTTCTCTGCCAGTCTGCTGACACTGTCTCCACATAGCTGAAGTAAATTTGCAACAAGTCAGCAAAACAAACTCCAGGCCTTCAGTACTTTTAGGTGCCTTTTGACTGGGTTCTGTTGATTGGTCTAAGTAGAAAATTCCAAAAATAAGCAAAGAAATTAGTTGGTTGGAGTTTTGGCCTTGGACAACTTGTCTCAAAGCCTGCTGCGGAAAGCTGAAATTGCTGCATTCACTTAGCAGACAAGCCTTGAGTCAGGTTGTCACAGCTGGTGTTCATATGAAAGACAAATGGAAAAACGGCTTAAATTACAGTGATGCTGCTCATGACAGACACAGGAAGACATGTCAAGGTTTACCTCTTCCCCTCGAAGCTTGAGGCTGGACAGGTCTATAGATCTGCGTGAAGAGTGTGACTGGCGTTCCTGCTATAGCAGAGTTTAACCTGCCGGAGAAGACGCGCAACAGTCAGACCTCTCCCCCTCATTTCCACCGTGAGCAAGTGAAACTGTGCAAAACTAAACATGGAGACTGAAGGAAGAATATATTTCTCTGCAGTGAGGAGTTATAAAGAGAGTGGTGAGAGCAACACAGCTACAGAGCCTCCACAAGAGCTGGGATGTACACAGATAGTAAAGAACTGCAGCATGAGGTTGTAATTTATCATAACATCTTGAAGGGAAGATTTGAATGGCAAACTGTCCATCAATGCCTATCCAAAGCTGTGCCTCTGCAAGAGCTGCTGTACATTAGCCTCCAGCAATGCTTGGGACAAAACAGGGACAACGAGACCTGCTCCAGAAGAAGGGGCAATATGATGCAAATGAGAAAGCAGACAGCCACACATCAACAGGCACAGGTTTGTTTTTCCTTTTATATCATTTAAGAGTGGCTTCTTCTGTCATGGGAGAGGAAAAAAGCCTTAGCAAGTCTCTAAGTACCGAAAAGTCAGAAATATTTAAGTTATTGATAAAGAGCTGTTCCCATGCTGAGCTCCTCTTTGGCAAAGAAATCAGAAGCCACAAGATTAGTCAGCTCCCGTGGTTTCTGAGCTTGTCAGTACATGGGAGAAGTCTTGAACCATAAAATTTGCTTCAACTGAAACCGACTTATACAACAGTCCCCAGTACAGTCCTGTGAAGGAAATGCAAAACTGCACATGCAGCTTTTTCAATCAGTTGCCTCAGTGACCCTCTGCAACGAGGCAGCTTTTTTCTGTCTACCCTGGAGCTGGCTGAGTATCTCAGAGAAAAAATGCTATCCTTTGCCTTAGCATCTTGTATCCAAGATATGTTCATATACATTATTTAATCTCTGTAGTATGAAAGTAATTTTGTATCAAAGGAAAAAATAATGGCTGCAATGGTATCACCTAAGTTCTCCTACAGCCAAACCTCTAGGAGGTCTCTGTGCAGTGGGGATTTTTCTCTTTGAGGTAACTGAAATAGATGTGATTTTTCAAAGAATGAAGGACTGACCAATCTTTCCTGAACAGCACAATATCTCTGAACGTGTCAGAGATTGTATTCATCAAATGATATCACTTTGTAAAAGCTGGACAGTAAAATATGAAGTTTGGTAATGTTTAGACATTAGTCTAGATAATAGACAATGCATAGACTAATGCCTGCTAATGCCTGACTTCAGAAGGGCAAGAGGAAAACTGAGCAGTCTTTTTTGGAAAATATTTGTGGAGTTGGTTGTATTAAGGGTTAAAAATTAAAACAAAACAAAACAACAAAACAATGAGAGGCTGGCTTATATGAAATCACCGCATCCGTGGCCTTACCAGTCTGCTCTGCCAGAATTTGAGAGAGTATTTCCGCCTGCTGGGGGGATGTGAAGACACTCTGATAGGCATCTCTGTGCCTAGCCTCGAGCTGCAGCTCCTCCCGCAGTCAGGAGAGAGGGCCAAGACATGGCTTTCGGTGCAGAAAATGACCCTAGCGGATACCCCTCATCAGAATGCACTGTCCAACATGAGATGCGGAGTCAGCCTCAGGAGAGGCAGACGGTTGACACTAGAGGGTGCCAGAGCTCCTCGGTAGACCTCAACACAATCCAAAGCTTTGCACACTTCTTGCACTCTGTCCCCCTCCTTGCTATGAATTTGCTGTGGAGGAGAAATTCGCGTTGCAGGATGTTTGCCCTCCCTGCCCAGGGCCCCGTGAGCCTGCCCAGAATGTTCAGCAAGGTTGACTGCACATAGGCAGCAGAGAGGGCATTCAGTTGGCTTCCAATACGGTTCTGACCTCTGCGCACTGAAAGGAGAAGCACAGAACGGCCCTGACTCTTTGGTAGGGACTTGAGCAGGTTTTGCATCTATGTAGACTGTTGTTGGAAAAATACCAATGAAAGATGTGAAATGACCATATGGAAGATTAAGTGCCCTTGAAAATACTACAGGTTTGGAAAAAAAAAACAAACCCAAATGCAGTAAGGGAGACCCCTGGGCCCTCCAACAGAGTGCAGGAACCCAGCCTTACCGGCTGTCCTCGTTCTCAATGATTCGCTTGTAGCGCTCCAGCTCGTTCTCCAGGGACTGCTGGTAGATCACCAGCTGGCGGCAGTCAGTCGTGTACTTCTCCAAGGTCCTCTCTGCTTCTTCTATCCCCTTCCTGAGGTTCTCAATCTGCTCGTTGTAAAGCTGAATTTCGTCGTCGTAACTCTCCTGGGTGTTTTTTATCGCTTGCTCCAGCATAGTTGTCTGGCAAACAAAGATGGTGAGTAACAGAATCAGCTCTGAATTATTGGGTATCCCCATCTGATAGTTATTTCAAAGGCGATTCAAGGCAAGACATGACCTGTTGAGCCGTGCTGCCGACATGTAGAGGCAAACAAAAGTAACATCTGTGCAGTAAGTCTGAAGTGCCAGTCACTGAGACGTACACTAACCAGGAGGTGGCGATGAGGTCCTTCCAAAGCAAGGGATGGAACTAAACACGTGGGCTGTTTCACCAAATCTGTTCTCATCTTCATCTGCTGTTTGGCTGTTTGCTATAGTTCATCTATCACTTGGTATTTTTTCCCTTTGCAAGCATCTTTTATTAAAGAGATGCACAAAAATGTGACAGGGCCACAACTGGTTAATGGGTTCTTTAATAATTGAATGATTTCTGCATTTTACAGGCAGGATTTCCAGAAACCTTTTAAGAGAATAAATTTAGGATCTAAGTCCCTTAGCACTGATTCAGTTATACTGTGGTTTAAGAGCGCTGATGAGTGTACAGGTTCAGTGCTGAGAAGGTGGAACTGATAACTCACTGCAACACAGTTGTCATGTTAGGAAAATGGAAAGCAAAGGACCTCAGTGACAATTCAGCCATCAGATCCAGCCTTCATTGTCACAAGTAACTCCCACACATAAAGTTATTTAACTTTAAGGCCTGAGAACAAATCAATTAAGATGTAATGAGATATGAAGATTTGATTTTGAAAGCAGCATGATTAATTTTCCACACAGCATGCTTCTTCAGGTGCCAGGAGATGGCTGATTTTCTCCTCAAATCTACATGGACTTACAGTCTCACTTGTTACTCTATTGATTCTTGCCCTTTCCAGAGCCCATGTGTCCTTTCCACCAAAGCATCAGACTTGAGAAAGAGTCTGAGGAAAAGACCAGGGGTATTGCTGTCCAAGAGTAACATGGTGAGAAAAAATACACTCAGCTGCTGCTGTGGCTGTAAAAAGGAGTTCAAAATCCCACCAAAAGCTATTTTATGCCACTACAATCATCCTCTCTCACATATACAGAGGACTCACATCTTGAGGCCTAAAAGAAGCTGCACCTGGAGGGGATGTGGTGATCATTCTCCAGTCCTATCTATCTACAAAGAAAACATTCCACTTCACAGATGTGCCATATGCAGTTCTACATAACTGGTTTCTGTTCACTGTAGCCTCTTTCTGCTGCTCCATCTCCTGTCCCCTCTGTCCTCTCCTCTTTCACCTTTCAGTTTTTAATATGTGCCCATAGAAACCATAGAGTCATGGTTGCATTTATGTCTAACAATGGCAGTACCTCTGTCTGCAACTTGTACTTTTGAGCCTGTAGCTGGCAGAGGATGCTCTTGTATTCCTCCAGCTGGCTCTGAAGAACAGGGATCCTCCTTTCTGCTACAAGTTTTTCCTGGTTGGAAGAAAACGTGTGCAGGAATTTAAGTTTCAATTAAATAAAGTTACCACTGAAAATAAACCATAAACACAAACAGAAAATGACAACAGACAACTGAAAAGTTGGGTACTGAACCTCAAGAAAGCCCTTCTGGCATGACAAAAAATAAAAGCTGTGATACAGCAGTGCTGTAAAAGCACAGCTTGTGCTGAAAGTAGACTGTTTGTATCTTCTAATAAATGCCCTTCAGGCAGCTACTCAGATTGGTGTGAATTACCAAGTTTTCATCCTGTTTGTAGCTATTTATCTACAGTTATTCACATCATGCCTCGTCACAAGATTTACTCTCTCTGTATATGTGCATACATCCTGCCAGCTCCAGCTCACACCTGAAGCACAACTACTTCACCACCTTTGATCTTACAGTTTTTGCAGTTAACACCCATGCTGACATGCACCTGTAACACACTGTCCCTTCTCTTGTTCACTTTGGTTTCCCAAAGCTACAATTAGTTTTTTTCTCATAATCAATATTCAGTACTTAACCACATTTGTTGCACTTTTCATTTAACTAGCTGGGAGATCTGGTATACTTTAAAAATCAACATGGATTATTTTTCACTTAGTACAGACCCTGCAGCATGCATTTTACCAACAGCAACACTTACCTCAGATATGCCAGTAGTTATAGGGGACACGCGAGGGGTTGTCTGGATGATTTGCTGTAAAATGTTGACATAGGTCTGGATTTCCATTAGGTTCTATGGCAAAGCAAAAGACATTTTTGTCAGAAAATATCATAGCTGCCTGTAATGCTCTACTCTGAGTCTTACTGCTAGATATTTATTTATTCCAACACATGCAAGTCCAGATCATGTTAAGACTTGTTTTTGCCAAGTAATTTTAGGCTTGGTTTAAACTGCTTGTGTCCTTACAGTTTTACTGTGCTTGGAGTATTACAGGTATGTGTCTAGGTTACAATGTAGTACAGTCTTAATCAAAGGCAATGTGACTTCTAGTCACAGTAAATTTTCAAAATGAGGATCAAACAATATCTTTGCATGTGGTCTAAAAAGAGAAGCTGCTTCTTTCAAAAGTGGCAAAGATGAGACTCTGGCCTGCTGCAAGATCCCACTGCCCTCCCAAGGAGAAGGAGAATGCATGTATTAGAGTTGGCAGCAACTTAATCATACAGCCACAGGATAGTGTCCACTGACTAACCAGAATGTTCTAGCCTAGAAAATCAGGATCCTCCCTTTTGCAAACCCAATAGCTTCCTAGCATGAAATGTAAGACAGCCTGATCAGCTTGTTGGGTTGAATCGCAGAATATCCTCAGCTGGAAAAGACCCACATCGTGGTAACAGGTCAAGAAATTGAAAACATTGCTACTGCTGTAGATACTGGATTCTGAGTAAGTCAACTCAAATGCCTTCAGCCACCCAATTATTGCTGTTTTGATCACTGACTATATATAAATTACACACTAAAACACAAACTGGATTTCCTTTTATTGGCCACTAGAACAGACCACGGAGAAGGATAAAGCTTCACACACATCTCTAGAAGAAAGCTCCAAAAAAGATGGCAAATTCAGCCAGTTACCTTCTTGTATCTGTCTTTTGTGGCATTAATGTCATCCTGCAGGAACTGGGACTCGATCTGCAGCTCCAGGTTGCACAGCAGGGCTTCATCCGCTTCCTACAACGCACAGAGAGACATGGACATGCAGACAGTACAGAGGGCTGGAGTGCCAAACTGATCCACCATGTGAGTCGCTTCACTGGTGTATGGAAAACTAAAGTCTACTGGGAGAAATAAAAATATTTTGAAAGCAATGAACAATAAGCACTTTATATATCGTGTACACACTGTACACACTGCTTTTCTGCATAAATATAATTTATGGTACAATTTAGCATAGGCAGTGTCAAAATATGCTTACTGTATGCTTTATGAATGCTGGGATCCTAGTAATAGACAAAGTGAAATACTGGTTGGTGATGCTAAAAGACTGCAGTGGGGCATGAATCTTAAACAGATGACATCAACAGAGTAAAGCATTCATTTCTCTAGCGCTTATGATAGGGCATCTTGAGTCATTTTTAATATTCTCAGTGAAAAGTCCCCTTGAAAACAAACAGACTGGTCCAAACTATTTCCACTTCTCCTTTTGGCGTTATTTCATATATCACAAATATTTGTCAGACTCGAAGCCATCTCTGGAACCAAAAATGACAGATGAGCAAGCCCCAAAAAGTTGGTCTGCTGCAGAACTTTCTGTTATTTATATGTCAAAGTCTCAAACTCATCCTTGGCGCTAGAGATAAGATCAGACCAAGAAACCTGAATTTCACCATCGTTGTCACTTGTGGTAGTCCCAAAGTTGATGTTTCTCAATTTTTGTTTCTCAGAAAACTTCGCCATACCTCACAGGACTCTGACTGCATAGCTCATTGCACTGAAAAGTGGTGGATATAAATCCTGACTACTATAGCTGAAAAATCTCCACTGAGCAGCAAGCCATCGTACCAAAACATGAGGGTATGCATTCCTTCCCCAACTTCCAACTTTTTTAGAAAAGGGAAAGTTGAAAGAGGAGGAGAGCCGAGCCAGTGTCACCCCTCATGTTGCTTTTTGAGAGCAAGAGATTTTTGACTCTTGTGAGTAAGATAACAAGACTAAAAGGTGCCCCTTTGTAACGATGGACGTGCCATTACTGTGTAATTCTGTCTCAGTGAGCAGATCACGGGTTGAAGATAAAATGCTAAAATCTACGGGCACAGCATGTGACTGGTAGAAAGGAATTGTTCTTTTTTAACATGCACAGCACGCGTTATTCCAAAAATGCGCAGATGCTGCTGTTTCATTATGCTGCCGAGCCTCCCAGCCAGGCCTGCTGACGCAATGGGAGGCTGCCCATGGACCCACTCTGCTCCAGAGCCATCTCTGCTTTGTGAGGCAGCAGCTCACCCAGACCAGCACGTTCGCCATTCGTCATGACTGCACCCTGCTTTTCTGCATCTGCTGCCATCCCATTGAGTAGAAGATCAGTGCAACAATGGTGATGTTAAGAGGCTTGTGGGCAGCCAAAAAAGCCCCTCGGCCCTTAGGTAAGCACATATTTCTGCAAGTAGTAAGCAAAAGCAGTGTTCAGCTTTCCAAACACTCCTTTAAAGGGAAAAAAATTCTCCCTTTTTCTCCTTCTTTCAAACAGACTATTTCATTGACAATGCCTTATAATAAAACAATACAGTGCGTACAGATCTGCTCCTGAACTTTGCAGCATTTGCTATTCGCTCTGCTTCCAAGCAAAAACCATTCTACCTTAGGTGCTGATTCCAAAAAGTTGATCCAAGAGATAAAGAAGCATCACCAGAGCCGCTGTTTGCTGATTTCCAAACTGATTCTCCTTCTATCTGAAAAGGCAAATGCTCACATCTGCTTGTGCACATTTCTAGGCTATATCTTGGGCACTATGCATACAGTCAACCGTGTTCTCTTCACTGTTTGGTGCCCCAAAGCAAGGAGCTGCTGCAAGCAAGGAGCAGACTAGCTGTAGCCTGGGTTAAAAACGCTTCCTGCAGCTCAAGATCACATTGGCTGTGCCCGGAGAGGTCTGTCAATCCTCTTTTCTTCAGCCACAAATCAGCTGAGAGGAATAATGAAGATGGACCCAGCAGCTCCAGCTATGCCTTACAAAATATTGACCTCCAACAATGTTTTTAAGAGTTCACAGGGTGCATGAGAGCTCTGCTGGCACTTTGAAAAATAGTATTGATGCAAGAGGTCTACAGCTCATTGGAGATGGAAAAGCTAAAACACATTTTCTTAATATATATAAAGAACATGCAATTGTGACTGTGCTCACACGAAACATCTCCTCCCATTTATCTTGGGGGAGAAAAAAATCCACCGCCAATTGTTTCTCACTGCAGAAGATGAAGGGTAAGCCGTGAGAAACAGAACTGGGGAAAGATATACTACAGCTTCCTTCACTTAGGCACTTAGGTGAAAGCTATTAGCAAAAGGAGAATGAATTGGGCTGTCCCACAGACCTGGTCTGGAAACTTCCTAAATACGTTAGTAAACTTTTATCTTTTCTCTGACCATTTATTATTATTATTATTAATATTCCTTCGAGGTTAGTTCAGGAAACAGCAGCTCTGCGTAACCATTTCTCATGTTGCACTAGGAAAGGAACAAATCATGATCTTTCGTGCCTTCTTTTTGTTTAGAAACCTGAATGTACTTATCAACAAACCTATTTTCTCCAGTCTTATCGTGGGCTGTATGATCTTCACTCTGCATAAGAATGATAAATGGGCTCTTCTTGCCCTGTGTGTAGACTCGAATTCAGAGAGGAGGTGTCTTCTGAATGGAACTACTAAATGCACCTAAACATGAATTTGCAAAATCACACTGAATGCAGAAGAATCAACACAAATTTCAACAGTAGGTCCCAAAATGAATGCAGCAGCCATCTGGTATTGCTCTAAAGGTGTGCTAGACAGTAGATCCTCCAAGTCCCTGGTCTTACTGAAAAATTCATGAAGTCCTGAGAACAGCTAAGGCTATGGGCTGTGGACAGCATGTGCTGTATAACCAGAATCAGGCTTTCCTTACCATCCCATCTGGTTAGATTAGCCATGTAAGCATTTGCCTGAAGTATTCCTCTAAGACATTTTTTCCCTGTAATTCAACATCTTTCTGTTTTATTACAGGCTCCACAACATTTCTAGAACATCATTCTCGATCTGAAATCTTCCATCATGCAAAATACAGCACCTGCTTTGAACTACATCTTTAGAAATAGGCACTAAGTAACCCACTGGAGTATTCTTAAACACCAGTGATCCTCGGCCTGAACAAACTCAACAAAATGGGACACCAGCATCATTGCAACACATATTTAGCCCTATATTAAGATAACTGTCTGTAAGCAGCAGCAAAGGACATAAATGCAAGAGCTAGACTAGAAAAGTTCTTTGCCAATGCTTATCAAGAAGGTAACTGTCATTAAGACCACAAAGCTAATTAAGACTTCAACAGAAGATGAGGGTTATAATCCTGGCTCTGCCTCAGCCTACTTGCCTTAACACCTTCTGGCTTTATTAACACTACATCCTTGCTTTGAATATCCGTATGCATGCCACTACGGTGCTCCTTTTCCTATTTCTAAAGCACTAGAAATAACTTTAAAATGACATATAACCTTAAATAAAAGGAAAATTTGGATAGAGCCTCCTGTGTTTAAGAGATTTTCTGTGAAGTAGTTACATGACAGCTAAAATAAATCCTTCCACTGCTCCTTAGAGCACTGCAGCATGATGGCAGCTGGACATGGTGACTATGGGCTCTGGACAGCAATACTGCTTTCTCCTTTTCCATGGACAGAACAAGGATGTAGGGCCATGCTGGGTGGGTGGTGTCAGCCTTTCCTGTGTCTATCCTTGCCCCAACCCACCACGGAGAGGTTGGCTGGCTCTGAAAGGTTAACAGCCAGCACAAAGCAAATATATATATATGTATAAATAGGGTGTGCATGAGATCTCTTGAGTAGAAGATACTTTAAAACTAGAAATGGAAGAAAAAATGGCAATGAAAAGTTCTTTTTTTCTTTCCCACTTTGCTGGGTCTTTACCCATACCTTCCTTCTAACTGTGCTCAAGTGGAACTTTCCATTCTGCTGACACTGATGCTTTAAACAAATTCAGATAAAAAGCAGCTAGCCACCAGTAGGAATTCTCAAAGGTTCCTAACAGTCAAAAAAATCAAAGAGAAAAACTGACAAAGACCTTTGCTTTTCCATTTTCCCAGGTTTACCTTATTCAGGCGTTCAAGGGTCTCTTTTAGCTTCTGCTGATATTCACGTTCATTTCGGTACCTGCAAATAGAACGAAGGATATGAAGTTCAGCGGCCCATCCTTCTACAAACTGCATTTTTAACTGCACTATCATGCACAATACGTGCTTCACACTAATGCAAAATACGAACCTTGAGAAGTCCCAGAAGATTTATTTATGCATTAGTATTACTTTTTTTTTTCTTTCTTTTTTGCCCCAGCTGCTGAGTATAATTCCAGAACTGACCAACTTCTTGTATCTGGCTTATAGAGAAACAGGCAACAGAAAGCCATATACTTGCTATCACACTGTCACAGGAAGCCCAAGAATTAGATTATTTACAATAAAAACATAATGGATTGATGTTGGGCTACAGTGATCACCTCTCATCAGTGACTACTACACGGGTATTTGCTATGCTGGCACATTTAATTACATTAGCATTTAATTACATTGTACTTGATTTTCTTTTTAACTAGTGCTGTTCAATAAAAACAGAAACATGAAACAGAAGTAGCAATTTTGTACATTGATTGCATAAGAATAATGATTTTCTATTTGAACGCATTGATGGATTAAGTTTTATGTCCTCTTCAATATCAATTCATACAGTAGTTTAGTCAAAATCACATCAGTCTTAGTATGGACTGCATTTAGCCAACAACTCTTGTGCACGTATAAAAATTCAGTGAGTGCCTAGTGTGCATATTTCTATACAGAGTGAGCAATGGATGTATAATGTGCTTATTCATTGCCCCCTGTTCATTGCTGGGGGTTGGACTGGATGGCCTTCAAGGGCCCCTTCCAACTCCAACGATTCAGTGATGCTATGAAATGGCTGGGCCTCCTCTGCTGTGCTGCTGTTTTCTAACAAAACTAAAACAATGTCATTATGCCAAACTGCTGGAACACAAGTTTCACTTCCAAGGCTACAACCAAGAACATTCAACTTCAAAAGCAAGACTGCATTTGTTTATGCTATTTATTAAATAAGTCACCTCCAACAAATTTTCTATCTCATAAATATTTTGTGGACGCTTGACATTTTCTGGCAACTGGGCAAGTATAAAGCTGATCGTGCCAGCTTGGGAAAATCACATGTATGGCTACAATATAAAGATGGATTTGCACTCCTAATAATATGCAAAAATTCCAACAGTGTCAGGGGCTAAATCTCAGCCCCAGTGCCATTCAGGCCTTTTCTAACCTGACTAGCTGTGAGGTCCTCAGTCAAAAATTCTTCCAATGACTAAAATCACAGAATCACAGAATTGTAGGGCTTGGAAGGGAACTCTAGAGATCATCGAGACCAACGCTCAGCTGCATTTTCCTTGCTTCTCAAATAACCCAAATCTCTGCTGTGTCACACAGAAATCCACCTGTCAGTCATAAGCAGTGGATATCTATTATTATTCTCTGAATGAGGATTGCCTTTAAGGGATTTTAATGTACTCCATAAGCTCACTGCAAAAAGGTGAAGGACCTCTTAGAAATGCTTCAGAGATCTCATGATGCAACATGCAAGCCTCTGTGCTGCTGAAATGTATGCTAGTGGCTAATAAGCTGCATGCTCTTACACTTCCAACCTGATGTCCAAGTTCAAGCAATTAGCAGGACATGTTTAAAGGAGGTCTGTATTTCTTAGATAGCTGCTAGTTGACCTTTGCTTGCCCTTAAGAGCCATAAGACTCATCTGCTTCTTTAAACAAATAAAAAAAATCCTCCTCATCCAGTCAAATAGCTTTACAGATTTAACAAATGTTTTTGGACTCTGTTTAGAAAAAACATTATTCATTCATTTTTTGCACAGAAGAAAATAAATGGAGTGGAGGTGGCCACCAGGTTCAAACACAACAGAACAGAGCTGTAAAGGATCCCATTAGCTCACCTTTCTGAGGTTAGCAGCTCCCTGCTGGAGTACTTACAGATACCTTGAGCCCTTGCACAGCTACAGGCATCAGCACTGTGTGACCAATGGCTATACAGGAGGGAAGCCTGACTCTGGGCTTCATTCTCTGCTGCAAAACAATGCTGCAAACAACTTTTACCATCTGCTGCCAGGCCGAGACCGTTCCTGAAAGATGTGGCAGGGAAGGCCTCTCTCATGCACACCTTGTCTCTGATGCAATGCAAGGGCTGTCTTCTCTCCACAGAGAAAACAATCACAATACATCACAGTGAGGTTCAACTGACAGAGACTCAATTTGGTGTCAAGTTTGTGCCTTTAATATACAGAGATATGGGAATGATGCCTCTCTGTTGATCCCTACTGAGTTTCTTCCAGCAATACAGGAAGCTTCCCGGCACATCACAAGGCAAGACAAAACTTTACTACTAGGTATAAGTTTCCCCGAGGCATTTCACTAGCCTTTTCTCAACAGAAACAGCAGTCATTTGAGCACCAAAGAGAGCACAAACTGCAAAACGCCAGTCCTATGAGGATGACAGACAAGCTAATAAGGATTGTATTTCATGCCCTGAAGGCTGGGACGAGCCATGTGTGGGCTCCGCTCTGCTGATTTGTGAGCAGAATGCTACCTGCATTATTACAGAGCTGCTACCAAAGTGCAAGATTTCAGCCCTCTGAGGAGTGTGTGGAGGCAGACAGGGCCTCCTCACCTCCAGGATAAAACTACGGCCAGAGTAGAGGCAGCAGTGCAGAGACAACCCCTGCTGACAAGGCTTGAAGACAGCTTTGCCAGTGTTCATCAGCCATCAGTAGCTCAGCCAGGTCCCAGCCCTGGTGTTGTGGTACCTGCTTTCATTTCCCCTTATCGGTGTAGTTTCTATGCTGCAGCCCCATCACATGTCAGCTTGTCTGAGCATCACTGTGCAGGTAGGAGAACCAAGTGCCCATTTCTGTGTCTGGTGATTTCTAAGGAATCACACAGCATGCAAAACCCACAATATTAGCACTGAATGAATTTTAAATTGAATGATCGATTAGCAAGACTTTTAATTCCTGAAATTAATTAATTCCGCTCAGTCAAGGGTGCTAAAATCTGGTTTTCAGCATCTTTCCAGATATCACAGAGAGAGAAATGCAGTCCTTTCCCGCAAACACATGTACTGCTGCTGTAATAACGATGCTCTATAAAAATTAGCATAATTAGCCCTTTGATGAGTCGCATCCAAACAGTTCCTCACTGTGCTTTTTTCTAACTTCAAGGGAACAAATTCTCCTCTGGCACAATCTGAACTATTCACATTGATGTGAAAAGCTATGGACATGCCTACAGAGGGTTTAAAAATAAATTTAAACCTAGGATATACTTTCCAGTGGTTCACATACCTCTAATTTTACAGACAAAGTGGTCCCAGGGTGTACTGTATGTATTATAAATCTATTTCTCTAATGGTGAATGTGAGCAAAAGAACGTGTTGTGAGAGCTAAAACTCTTTGCCTTAGTGAAAAGCACAGACACACTGGAACAGGTTGCCCAAGGAGATTGTGGATACCCCATTCCTGGAGGCATTAAAGGCCAGGCTGGATGTGGCTGGATATGGGCAGCCTGGTCTGGTGATTGGCAACCCTGCACGTAGCACGGGGGTTAAAACTAGATGATCATTTTGGTCCTTTTCAACCCAGGCCATTCTATGATGTGATTCTATGATTACTCTCTAGGAGATGTTATCAATCCTAGCACAAAAGTCAGTGCTTTATGTTCCAAAATGTTCCCCTACGCTGTGCTGCTGACTGAAGGCATAGGCAGGTAGGAGTGTTGGAGCACTGCAAAGCAGGAGCTCCGATTTCTTCTTCCACAGCCCCAACACAGCACAGATGGTTATCACTCCATATTTGGGGAGCAGAAAGCACAGGCACGGATGGCTGTGAGGTGAGCACTGAGGGTGCATAGTGCTGGGGCACTGACCTTGTTTTAAATCCAACCAGTCTTTGAAAAGCTTTTAACCTGTTCTGCAAGTCAAGTTCAACAGCTTCCAAAAGGGGAAAAACAAAGCCCAAATTCACCTTAGAATTGCTCAGGTTGAAAAAGACCTCAAAGATCATCGAGTCCAACCACAACCTAACCATACTACTTTAACAAGCCTCCGCTAAATCAAGTCCCTTGGCTACACCCAAGCCAACAGAAATTTAAAGTTCAAAGCTACAGATATAGAAGGCCATTGCAATGGAATGGCAGTGGCTGCCTTTTGACCAAATTGCCTTTGATTATCCCAGAGTTTCTTTTTTACTGCTGCTGAGCGAACATCCCAGGGCAGTGTGATGAGATACCAACTAATTTTTCTGAAAAATCATTAACTACCACTGTACCGGGTCCTAAACCTCATTTTCTAAAAGCAAAGTGCTTTCTATGAGTATTTATGACCTCCAGAGCCTTGCATTCTTGCCCACTCATTCACAACCTATGCAAAACAGCGCTAACAAAAAGCAAGTGATGCTGTGTCAGATCCTGCTGATGGGGAGCTGTACAGGTCACTAATCCACAAAGCATGCAGTTGGATGCAGGAAACTATCAAAAGGTATTTCTGTCCATTTTGCACATATTTTTAACTAATACACAGCTGGCACTAAGTTTAGTTAAAATCTCATAGACACTGCTTAATTAAAACATACAAAAAAGTATCAAAGTTGACAGTTAAATTACACCATTGGCTCTTAGCTGAATTTCCTGCTCTTGGCTATTGGAATACAGAACTGCCTAATCTGGCACTCATTACTCATTGACTCACAGCCAGGGAGTCATGAATTTCTGACCACTTCCAGCATTAAGCCTCAGTGCACCTGCATGGGTTGTTCTCTGTTGTTGCAGAGACGAGGGTTAGGAATTTATTTGTGCCACAGCTCCCACGAGCTCTTTGTGTGGCAGCTCACTGGTACTGGGTTGGAGCTATTGATATTTATTTATTTTGGCTGTCTCATTTTTTGCCCCATGAACAGCTTTGGCAGCACTGTAGAGCAGCATGGTGGGCTCAGGAGGGCAGGATGAGCACGTGTTAGGGTGGTTATGGCTGCTGGGAGTGATGGATCATCAAACTACAGCATCAAGATGCAGATTGTCACATTGCCAATTGTTTCACACCTGCTTTCTGGCTCTTCCCAATTGTTCAAAGAAAACCCAAACAAACTGAGACAATTGTAGAAACTGAAGGGAAATACAAGCAGTCTTATACTTACCAGTCCAGAGGAGTGGGAAATCCGTAGTGGAACAGACTGAAAAACTATGTGATTTGGCTAAGGTCAGGCCAAAGTCTGTGGTGGTGACAAGGGATGAAATGTCGAGTGACTCATATTTCTGCAGCAGCAAGACAGTGCTGCTCCAGCTTGTTCACCTCCTCCCTTCTTAAAAACGTTTTTGGTGAGTCCAGTGGGCACTGCCTGGGAGCAGCTTTGTTTCTATCAAGACTGTTTCTTGAAAATACTTCATTTGCCTCCTTCCTATCCTTGTCAATAAGAAGTGTTTCTAACTCAAAGTAGCTCACATAGTGTTCTTCTCTCATCCTTTGGTGGGGAAGTGAAAAGTTTTACTTCAGCTTGTATACTGCTGCCAAATTTTCCCTTTTTTTCCATCATCGGCCCTTTTATCAGCAACAGTCTCCAGGTCTTGTTGTAGAAGTAATTAGGCAACATGGCCAAAACTGGCTGCTGCTAAAGAGAAGGGACTACGTGTGTCTGGAGGCTCTTGCATGCTTCAGCCCCTAATTCTCCTGCTCTTATTTAAAGTACCAATGAAGCTAAAGAGAAATGAAGTTTGAGGAAAATTTTCTCACAGGTACTGCTTAAGTAGCATGTGCCAGAAATATTGGGACGCAAGGAAAAAAAGGAAGTTAACTAGGCAAATCCCTCTCACATACCAAGAAAAATAATTATTTTCTCTTTTCATCCTGTATCCGTAGAGGCTGGTCCAGGTGATTTACAACACCTGTAAATAATAACAGTTTCTTAGAGATGTCCTAAACGTTTCAGGAAGTGTTTGGAGTCTTGTAACTCTGCTATTCAGACACTTAGCTCATTTTGTGCCAGGATGGTTTTCTAATTGGTCTTTTCCCTGTTGGCAGCTCAGAGCACAGCACTGCTAAAGCTAAGAAATGACAGCGTGTGCCATGGTGAAGGAACATTGCCCCCCTAGTAGTAGGAACAGCATGAAGAGCAGAGCCGGTGCTCCCTACACACTGCATGCTATCCATGGCTGCAAGTCTGAAACATGAGGAGAGACATCACCACGCAGGAGAAGCAGCCAGCAACCAAACCTACCCTTAGGACACAACTAGAGAAGCAATACTACCTCCTCCCTCCCTCCTCCAGCCTTACTTGTTGCGATACTCATCAAGCATGCGCTGGGCATCCTTCTCCTCCCGCTCCAGCTTGGCCCGGTCGGACGCCAGCTCCCGCATTCGTTGGCGGTTGAACTCGATCTGCCCAGCGAAGGCTTCGTCCAAGCCCACCAGCTCATCCATGCGCTGGAAGGTCTCCAGCTGCTTGCGCAGGATGGTGTTGCGCTGCTCCAGCACGCGCGCCCTGTTGATGTAGCTGGCGAAGCGCTCGTTGAGTTCCTGCAGGTTCTCCAGGCCTTGGGCTTGGGCCAAGCTGTCAAATTCGGGGGAGCCCCGCAGCTCATCGTAGGCATCCGAGCGCTCGTACTTCTCCTTGCGAACCTCGCGGAGGAAGCTGCTCCTGTACATGGCTTCGGGGGGGCTGTGTGGTGCCGGTGTCCCCTCTTCCGTGCCTGCCTGTCTCTCCAGTTTGGATCTGATTTGTATCTGGGGGGTTTGGGGAGAAAGAATTGACCATAATCACCCCCCAGATGATTAGGAGTTGCTTCCAGGGCTGTTTGTGGCACTAAAGGCATCATCTGCAGCAGTGAACTAAATAAATCCCCATGGCCCCGCCTTGGGGCTGCCCGTCCAGGCGTCAGCAGTTCTGAAGAGCTTTCTTTTCGAGTGTTGCAATTGCATATGCAGAATAAAAGAGAGCAATGTCCAGCTTTTGCCTGGTGGATTATCCATGGACAACAAAATGAGCGCTTTGCAGTTTCAGAGGCTGAGTTCAAAGCCTGTCCTGGCTGTGTTGCAGGGGAGAGCTTTGTCCCTTGTTGTTGTCTCCAGGCACTGTGCACAGGCCTCCTGCTGAGCCAGGATTTTGGTCTGAGCGGATGGAACAGCTTGATTTTTGTTACTTGGCAGTTTTGCAGTTGTTTGGGATTACATTATGGTATATAAAAAAGTCAGCATGGCTCCTGTTCCAGATACAAAATTTGGCCATTTGGTTCTCACCTCATACTTCATCATATCAGCCTTTCCTGTGCAGTAAGTTTACCAAGCACAAGAGCCATGAAAGCAGGAGGATCACAGTCATACTTTATAGAATTGGTAGTCCAACTCAGGAATAGCTAAGTGCAATGTCCCTTCATGGCGTGGCAGACAGTAAGTTACCTCATGGAGAATCACCATCCCTCTCTCCCATCCCTTTAACCCCCCTCACATGCCACCATTCCCAGAGAGTCTCTAGTTTCTCTAATAGAGATAGATGTACTTCCTCTAACTTTTTCTTTTGAAGTCTTTACCTCTTCCGTTTTTTGTTCCTCCAGAAGTGCTCACACAGCCAAGAAGCCCAACATCAGGACAGCCCAATATTGATATCTGTTAATAATTCATTTACATTTAAGCAACTTTTTCATTTTTCAGTGGATGCATCTAGTATGGATATTTAGATCGTATATCTTGAAACCTTAACAGAGAGTGGCCCTACTGACAGCAGGTGCAGAGGAGAAGAAAGATGCTGGGTGCTCAGGTAATTCTGAAATTCAGCTGCTCTTTAATCAAATCTGTATCTAGAGTAATAAAAAGCCCATTAGAGGTTTTCTGCATCTTCCCTATTCTGCTTCACGTTATTTGGAAATGTAAATAGGGAAAGATCAAACGATCTTTCAGAAAATCAAAGTAGGGTTTGTGCACATATCATTCACCTCTGTACACAGCCTCTGAAATAGTTAAACAATAAAACTGATAGTTATAAAGAAATATGTATATATATTTGCATCTGCATGTTGCACAGAAAGCAAAGCCTTCCACACAGCACCAACACGCAAATATTTGCAGCTCTGTGGCGAGACAAGCCTGCCCAGCCAAACAATGCAGCAGCTGCTGATGTTTTTACAGAGTTAGTCTTCCAGAAGAGATCAGAAAGCAGATTCTGCTGGACTGTGGGCACCATACTTTTATGGCAAGAGATTTTTAAGCTTTAGAATCATAGAATTACCAAGGCTGGAAAAGACCCCTGAGATCATCCCAGCCAACTGCTCACCTACCACCAGTATCTCCTCACTAAACCTTATCCGTTAGCACTAAACCACATCCCTTAGGCATCCTATCAGAACAGAAATAGCCTTTGAGGGAACTCTCCCAGTCCTCCTCCTGAGGCTGGAAGCAGTGCTGACTCCACACTAGGCATGAACCTTAACTCTCTAGGCAATAAACACAAAAATGTCATGTTCTGCTACAGGCTGCATTTCTCCATGTGGGATTCCTGACACAGTAAAGTCTCACCTTGGGTTGTTTCTCTGCTGGCTTGCTGCAAACATTGCTTTACTGTGGGCAAAGCAAGTATGCATGGCTCATACTCTGTGCTCATGGCTTCCTGTGACAGAGGCTCTGACTTTCAGTGAGGGAGCATGAGGAGACATTCTGGCCTCCAGAGAGCTCACGGTCAATCCAATGCAGCAAACCAGAATGACACAACCTGAAAGACAAAAACAGCTTGGCCTAGACTGCAGATGTTACCCTGTTTCTTTTGAAACCAAGAATGTCAAAAGCAACACGGAAAAATCAATCTACTCCTGCTGTGCACAAATTACTTGGCTCATCTAATGGACCACCAAGGTGAATTTCATACAAAGGGATCCTGAAGGCTGTTTTTTGCTTAAGTGATGGCTCAAAAACCAAAAGATTATCAATAAACATTAATGAAAAGTCTGGCAAATTGCTGCTCGGAAGCTTCCTAGATTTTTATCAGTGTGCATGTATCAAAAAATCACTTATATATAGAGAATCTTTTTTACCCATTGCCCACAATATCAATAAAAAGTAACAATAAGAAATGATTCCTATCTTTCCTTCTTTGTTCCCAGGGTACTTGTCTTGTTCCTGCGAGAACAAAATCTGAAGGCTGGCTCTTTACATTCTAAATGTGTTCTATGATACATCATTATCGCCCCAGAGCAAATGTTTACCTACTGCTGCACAGCTCAATAAAGCCCTGATGCAGTGGGTGCTTTGCTTCCTCTTTAATTGCTTGTATTGCCATGAACTCTCTCTCAATCTAAATTGGCTATAACCTTTATGTACAACATCAGCATATTTTACCAATGCCACCAATCTGTTTGCACTCCTTGCTATTTAGCTCCACCAACACAAGTTTCTTATGCTAAATCAAACCAATTTAAATCAAACACACAAAACACAACACAACCATCCAAACAAAACCTCTTCCTGCTATTTTCTCAGTAAGACCATGACAGCTCATTGGTCTGCCTACTTAGCTGACATGAACTGATCCCAGCCCACAGCGTAGGGCTTTACACTCTGTTCTCTCTTGCTGTCCTTTGAAGTTGTTTTGTTTTATTCAGAGCCTGACACTAATAACCCAAAGTATCCTGTTCCTGTAGTCCAGAATGAAACTTCAGAGCAGGGCATGCTAATGAAATTCCAAATGCTCATTTCATGGCAAGGTCTCATTAGGCAGAAATTGAGATTATTTTTCATGCTGAGAATTGAGGTTATTCTTCACGTAGAGAATTGATGCTCAAAAGGCCACGTCACATCGCATGGCTGAAAAGAGCGGTGGTGCAAGGCATTCAGGGCACATCTCCGTGAACATGAACATGACTAATGAGAGAGATGAGATGAATTGAGGCTGATTAGCTTTAAGGAAGACTCAAAGGGATGTAACTTCAAATAAGAAAGAGTCCATTATATAGGAAAAAAAAAAAAAAAAGAGGTTTCTTTTCCACATCCATAGTGAATAGAATAGAACAAGAAATAATAATGAGTTTAAACTGTGTAATTTAAGATACAAACGAGTTATGCGGAAAGTGGTCTAACAGGATGAATAATGAAGCACCAGAATAAAAGGCTGCAAAATCTGTCACTGAAGCACTTACAGATCAGACTAAGCAAACACTACTCAGGGCTGAGAGAGGTGTCATTCATCCAGCCATAGGAATGATGAGAGCTTGCTCCTGATTTCCAGGGGGACACAACAAGGGGACCCCTTAGTGCCCCCAGGGCCCTGACAGTGACTTCTGAGACCTCTCCCAATCCTGTCAGAGCCACACACTCCCGCTTGTAAAACCCTTATGTGCAGTCTTCCTATTTGCTTTAGAAATTGATCTCTAGTGGATGATGTCCAGCACACTGCAGCACAGCTGGATGCTGACTTTAGCCTGTTTATTTTTACCCTGAGTGAAGCAAAGGGCACCATGCCTAGCCCAGTGGACCACATAACACTAAACACTACTACTGTCAAAAACAGGAGGTTTGTCCAGATGCTGTTCTTCCTGACCCCAAATCAGGGCAGCTGTCTCTAAGGGAATTTAGAAAATAGCTGTGCCATGTTTCATGTATGAACTTAGAGAGCAGAGATATTGCTATCCCTGCAGGCAGCACCAGAAAGATCAGGGCCCAGGGCTGTTTCAGCTCTGTGCTTAAGCAGTGGTCATGTACCACCAGAGGGCTGTAGTCCAACAGCAGGAACAGGCCGTGCGTTTGAGATCCTGTGCCAAAAGCACCAGCATCTGACAGAAGTAACACGTGATTCCTACAGAGAATTTGCTCTGAAACAAGATGGACTTTGTCCTTCTTGCAACAGTAGATGTACTGAACAAAATGTGCTGCTTCTGGTCAAGGAGACCCAACATCGCTGAGGTTGGGGCAACCCCTGATGAAGATGAACATGCAGCTGTGAAGCTGTGTACATGCTGCACTGCTCACGACACACAGCAAGCTCAGGTCAACACCATGAATTTAATAGACATTGGGGACAGATCCTCCGCTGAGCTGTCCCTGTGAAGTCAGGCCAGCACAGAATTACTGAGAACCGGGCATACCACGAGGAATCAAGGGAAAGAACACCAACAACTCTCCATGGCAATCATAAACAAAAATAAAACCAGCTTTACTTTTCTGGCCTGCTTTTCCTAGCAAGTCCATAGCTATAGTAAGCTGTGAAATTGCAGCGTTAGACAAACTCTAAGAAGCCAAGCTACTTTTTTTTTTCCTGTCATTTTGGCCATCATTCAGGAAAAAAAAAAAAAGAAAAAGAAAAAGAAAAAGAAAAAAAGCACACCATTGTAAAAGAGTAAAATAGAAGATCGAAGATGAAAACTGGGTAAATACTCCGGGTTTTGGTTTTATTTCTTTATTTTTATTTTTCTACTTTAGTCTTAATCTAGCCACTTGCTTTTGTTCACTTGTTTCTTTTTCTGAACAACGCACAATGCAGCAAAGGGACAATGGATCATCAAAAGCATGAGATCTCTGGAAGATAAAAGTTGCTTTAGACCTTTTTTTTTTCCTTTCTGAAAAAAAAAAGAAAAGGTAGGTAGACCACTACCTACAGTTACCTTAAATCCCCCATGTCTCTACATTGTTACTGAATAATATGGTTGATTTAGGAGGGCAGGATTTTTTGGAGGTATAACCATACGTTTGCATGTTTTTCATCCAAAAACTGATGAAAATCAGAATTATCACTTTTCTCCTTATAGAAATAACATTTGGTTTGTTAGGATTCAGAAGACCTTAAGTAAAATATTACGTCCATTTTCTTGGTACTGCAGAACAAAAACTAACTCATCCGAACATGTCTTATCTTTCAGAATGTCTCCCAGAAACTTCATTTTTCAACCCCAATTTTTCCATGCAAGCTTAAAGTTTCTGTCATTGCCTTTTCTAGGGAAAAACACTGCAATCAATAACTAATTTTGATGGGGCCAATACTTCACAATAGAGAAGAAAGAGAAAAAAGACAATTTTTTCCCCAGAGAATCTGTAATGCAAGGGAAGATAGAAGATGTGGTGTGGTTGATAAACCACATGGCCTTTCCTTTCACCCAGAAGAAACTGAGTAGGAAGATGAGTTTTGTGATAGAGTGCTTGGTTGGTTTCTTATGAAAAGAAACAAACAAACCAACCTGAGGAATGAAGTCAGAGTGAATTTGGACTCTACTTGAGCCCTTGAGATGATAATCTGCATTTCTGCAACAGACAGAACAATGAAAGCAGGAGTGTGAGGAGATCTCTGGGGAAATGAAGACTACAACTTGAATGAATGAAACAGCAGAACTAGGGAAGGGCAATAAGAAGAGCCTGGAAAAGGGTCCAGAGGGGGAATCTCAGTGGTGGGGTGGTATGACAGGTGTCTGGCCATGCCAGCCTGGCAG